ATACATCTACTGTCTGTTATACTAGTCCTGTTATACTAGTCCTGTTATACTGTTATACTAGTCCTGTTATACTAGTCCTGTTATACTAGTCCTGTTGTACTGCTATACTAGTCCTGTTATAATAGTCCTGTTATACTAGTCCTGTTATACTGTTATACTAGTCCTGTTATACTAGTCCTGTTATACTGCTATACTAGTCCTGTTATACTAGTCCTGCTATACTGTTATACTAGTCCTGTTATACTAGTCATGTTATACTATTCCTGTTATACTGGTCATATTATACTAGTCCTGTTATACTAGTCCTGTTATACTAGTCCTGTTATGCCTTGTCTGAAATGAAGCCCTGCAGTATGTTTGTGTCATGTTTTGATTGGCTCCTCTATGCTGGTGCTGACCTGTGATTGGTCTATTCCAGGGGTCGGTGGCCATAGCTGGGGCGGTGGTGCGCTGGCTGAAAGACAACCTGGGAATCATCCAGTCCTCCGCAGAGATAGGTGAGCTCTGCTCTGCAACACGCTGGACGTTTTTAGGTTGATTCATATTTACTGAAGATCCTCCTCACACTGCCCCTCTCGTTCCTCCTCCCTCCCCCTCCTCTCACAGAGAAGCTGGCAGGTGAAGTGGGCTCATCCTATGGATGTTACTTTGTTCCCGCCTTCTCTGGGCTGTACGCCCCCTACTGGGAGCCCAGTGCACGAGGGTGAGTGGCTATACGAGGGTGAGTGGCTATACGAGGGTGAGTGGCTATACGAGGGTGAGTGGCTATACGAGGGTGAGTGGCTATACGAGGGTGAGTGGCTATACGAGGGTGAGTGGCTATACGAGGGTGAGTGGCTATACGAGGGTAGGCCACTTGCACCTAATTGTGAAACAACCCTTTGCGCTTCAGACGTCATGCATTTCACTTGGTTTTATGTGACAAAATGTCACTAGATTTGAGGTGTGTGTTTAAGTTAACATGCGTGTATTCTGGCCTCCATTTCAACAGAGCTGCCGGTTTATTTATCTCTCTCTCTCTCTCTCTCTCTCTCTCTCGTTTCAACAGTATCATCTGTGGGCTGACTCAGTTCACTAACAAATCTCACCTGGCCTTCGCTGCTCTGGAGGCTGTTTGTTTTCAGACTAAAGAAGTATGGCTCTGAGTTCCATTCAGACTCAATCGCACAAGTCAAGCATCAGACTTTGATATGAAACTAACAGATATATATAATTGTCCAGATCCTGGAGGCCATGAACCAGGACTATGGGGTTTCTCTGAGCCAGCTCCAGGTAGACGGTGGTATGACCTCCAACAGACTACTGATGCAGCTGCAAGCTGATGTACTCTGCATCCCTGTGGGTAGGTACTCACACACACACACACACACACACACACACACACACACACACACACTGCACTGAGGTAAAGCACATGCACTCGGTAATCTCTCACTTGAACTTTGACTCAACTACACACATTTGTGTGTCTACTTCCAAGGACGTACCAGGCACATTGACATCATGCACATGCACTCCGTCAAAACCCAAAACACACTACGCAGGGAGACACAGCTGCACAGTACACTCTAACATGACCCTTTACCCAAATACACATACTCCCGAGGACGTGCAGTATTGGATTTCTGTGTGTGTGTGTGTGTGTGTGTGTGTGTGTGTGTGTGTGTGTGTGTGTGTGTGTGTGTGTGTGTGTGTGTGTGTGTGTGTGTGTGTGTGTGTGTGTGTGTGTGTGTGTGTGTGTGTGTGTGTGTGTGTGTGTGTGTGTGTGTGTGTGTGTGTGTGTGTCCAGTGAAGCCGTCCATGTCGGAGACCACGGCGCTGGGTGCGGCCATGGCGGCGGGAGCAGCAGAGGGGGTCGGTGTCTGGAGCCTGACCCCTGGTGACCTCACAGCCATCCCCACTGAGAAATACCAACCCATGATCAACCCTGAGGGTGAGAGAGCAGCGTCAGACCTTGATCCGTAGCCAGGGGTTGGGGTCAAAGTGAATTGAAAAACGCCAGTGTTTTTCTTTGAGGATTTTAACAATTCATTAATTTAATTTTAAATCCACTTCTTCTTCAATTGGCTTATTTGGAAAACTGAATCGACCCCAACCCTGTCATCGTTAGGTATGACCATGAAGCATGACCATCATTTGATTTGAGATACCATATCAATATTTGCCTCATACTGCCATCTGGTGGTTAAATGTCTATTACATTAAGGCCATTCAGTTTATATTCTCAAACCCGACCTTGGGCAACAGTGACTAGGGTCTGGTTTCAATGATGGACTCTTTTGGCTTAGATGCTTTATGCCACTGCTTACGTCACTAATTTATCTGCTTTAATAAAATGCTAAATACACTGCTCAAAAAAATAAAGGGAACACTTAAACAACACAATGTAACTCCAAGTCAATCACACTTCTGTGAAATCAAACTGTCCACTTAGGAAGCAACACTGATTGACAATAAATTTCACATGCTGTTGTGCAAATGGAATAGACAACAGGTGGAAATTATAGGCAATTAGCAAGACACCTCCAATAAAGGACTGGTTTTGCAGGTGGTGACCACAGACCACTTCTCAGTTCCTATGCTTCCTGGCTGATGTTTTGGTCACTTTTGAATGCTGGCGGTGCTTTCACTCTAGTGGTAGCATGAGACGGAGTCTACAACCCACACAAGTGGCTCAGGTAGTGCAGCTCATCCAGGATGGCACATCAATGCGAGCTGTGGCAAGAAGGTTTGCTGTGTCTGTCAGCGTAGTGTCCAGAGCATGGAGGCGCTACCAGGAGATAGGCCAGTACATCAGGAGACGTGGAATAGGCCGTAGGAGGGCAACAACCCAGCAGCAGGACCGCTACCTCCGCCTTTGTGCAAGGAGGAGCAGGAGGAGCACTGCCAGAGCCCTGCAAAATGACCTCCAGCAGGCCACAAATGTGCATGTGTCTGCTCAAACGGTCAGAAACAGACTCCATGAGGGTGGTATGAGGGCCCGACGTCCACAGGTGGGGGTTGTGCTTACAGCCCAACACCGTGCAGGACGTTTGGCATTTGCCAGAGAACACCAAGATTGGCAAATTCGCAGGTTCACACTGAGCACGTGACAGACGTGACAGAGTCTGGAGACGCCGTGGAGAACGTTCTGCTACCTGCAACATCCTCCAGCATGACCGGTTTGGCGGTGGGTCAGTCATGGTGTGGGGTGGCATTTCTTTGGGGGGCCGCACAGCCCTCCATGTGCTCGCCAGAGGTAGCCTGACTGCCATTAGGTACCGAGATGAGATCCTCAGACCCCTTGTGAGACCATATGCTGGTGCGGTTGGTCCTGGGTTCCTCCTAATGCAAGACAATGCTAGACCTCATGTGGCTGGAGTGTGTCAGCAGTTCCTGCAAGAGGAAGGCATTGATGCTATGGACTGGCCCCCCGTTCCCCAGACCTGAATCCAATTGAGCACATCTGGGACATCATGTCTCGCTCCATCCACCAACGCCACGTTGCACCACAGACTGTCCAGGAGTTGGCGGATGCTTTAGTCCAGGTCTGGGAGGAGATCCCTCAGGAGACCATCCGCCACCTCATCAGGAGCATGCCCAGGCGTTGTAGGGAGGTCATACAGGCACGTGGAGGCCACACACACTACTGAGCCTCATTTTGACTTGTTTAAAGGACATTACATCAAAGTTGGATCAGCCTGTAGTGTGGTTTTCCACTTTAATTTTGAGGGTGACTCCAAATCCAGACCTCCATGGGTTGATACATTTGATTTCCATTGATAATTTGTGTGTGATTTTGTTGTCAGCACATTCAACTATGTAAAGAAAAAAGTATTTAATAAGATTATTTCATTCATTCAGATCTAGGATGTGTTATTTTAGTGTTCCCTTTATTTTTTTGAGCAGTGTAGTAGCTAGCAAGATGGAGATCAAGGAGGTTATTTTTTAATGAGTGCTTTTCGGAAGTGGCCACTCTGCATCAACTACCTTAACTAAAACCACTGCAAAGGTTTTAACTGCAAACTTTAGTTTTGAATCGCAAGGTTCTGGCATGTCTGCCTTGTGATTTGTTGGCAGAGTCCCCGGAAAATGTTTTCTCCCTTATCGACAGAGGAAGTGACATAGTTCCTTTATGCCAAGAGTCATTGAAACCAGACCCTAGTCTAAGGTCGGGTTTACAAGACTATTTGGTTTACATGACAGGCTCTCCACTATTTTTGTCTCGTAGAGTGAGTTTAACACACTGACATCTAGTGGTTATATGTATGTACTGCAGTTACCTTGAGGACAGGCACCTCCAATGTAACGGTCTGTCGCTCTGTTTCTCCTGTAGAGAGTGAGTTCCGGTACACACGCTGGAAGAAGGCCGTCCAGAGGGCCATGAACTGGGAGACCACAGAGCCTATCAGCAATGGCAACGGTGCAATCAGCAATGGCAACGGTGCAATCAGCAATGGGAACGGTGCAATCAGCAATGGGAACGGTGCAATCAGCAATGGGAATGGTGAGCGTTGACCAATACAAACACCCTGTTTGTAACTGCATTAGCCATCTCATTTGTCATGGTCTATGCTGCACCATCTATGTATACATGGTAGTCTGATAGTGATACCCTGGGTCTCTCTATGGAGAATGACCGTGATACCCTGGGTCTCTCTATAGAGGATGACTGTGATACCCTGGGTCTCTCTATAGAGGATGACTGTGATACCCTGGGTCTCTCTATAGAGGATGACTGTGATACCCTGGGTCTCTCTATAGAGGATGACTGTGATACCCTGTGTCCTGTATAACTGCAGTGTTGGGACAGAAGGTAAACAGTGTTCCCTGGGGTGTCCCTCTCCCCATCTCAACTGACCTCTAGGTCTGGGACATGTCTCACCCCTCTCCCCCTCTCAACTGACCTCTAGGGTCTGGGACATGTTAGTTTATGTTTGTGTGTCTTGAGTGAGATGCTTCTCCATTCTAAGACTACCATAGCCAAAATATATTTGTTAACTGAAACCCTGAATTTAAGTAGAAAGTCCATTTTACATGAGATGCAACAACTGTAACCTGCACAAAATGGGGCATGCTACCTAACTGAAATGTGAGTGCCACTAATGCCATTGCAATGCTTATATACCTCAGCCACTATTATCTGCCTGTGGTGATACATTCCATGAGTTTAAGATTGGGATTTTCATTAAAATAAAACGACAGACTCCTTTTGCGCTCATCTAAACCTGTCACCTTCTTCTGTCTCTCTCTCATCACACAGGACAGCACTAGTAGGATCTGAGCCAACACATTTCACTAGGAACCATTGGGGGATACATGTGGAGTTGAAGAAGGGGAAACATACAGAATGAACACCCACCCCCTCCATAGGTCCACCTAAATCTGATTGGTTTTTGGGCATGCTGCCTTCTGCCTTGTTCCTGAGAGCATCCCTAGTCCACAGTCTGTTCCCTCCTCTTAGTCCCATGGAGAAGGACCCTGCCTGTGAACTTCATCTGGGAAGAAAGGCCCACATATCAAAAGATGGAATCAATTGATGGAACTAGACTGTGTGACTGAACTGTGATAAAGACTAATTCTCCTGTGGAAGGAAAAAGACAGTCCCTATCATGTCTGTTTGTTTTTTTTACTATGAATTTATTAAGCAGCTGATATCTTAACGTTTTTCTTTTTTGTTTGTCTTAAATGTTTGGTCATTTTAACAAATGGTGATTACTGTACATTTTTAAAAATACTAATTAAAATTACACTGGTTAGGAGTAGCTCTATCGTTGAACAGGCTACATATCTATAATGTGGAATGGAAGGCATGTTGAGAAATGGTTGCTACTCTGATGATCCGAGATCTACCTAGCTATATATGGGTCCACTTGAAGGAAGCTCTGTATGAAAAGCGTCGCAGGTCCTTATAGCACTTTATAATTTACGATTTGCGTCTCGGAGTACATGAAATGGGTATCGTGCTCAACTGTTTTTAAATGGTAAATGTTTTTTTGTTTTTTTAAAATCAATTAACAGTAATGCTTTTTTGCAAGGGATTTATCAATTGGTAATGAATGGGGATGTAAAGGCAAGAAATAACTCGGTGAAAGAGGAATCTAAATGCTAACTGTACAAGAAGGTCAGTTGGTTATTAATTACTGAGAAATGTCAACCTGCAAAATGGTTTCAGGTCAGACTGTTGTAAGAAGAAATGAATCTGTCCAATGTGCTTCATATCCCAAATGGCTGCCTTTGACATTGATACAGAGAACCATGGTATGGACCTTGGTATGTATAATGATCATATACATTTTCTTGAACTAATGTACAGTATGTAAATCTAATATGAAATCTAAAGCCCCCCCTCATTCTGGGTATGGGAAGAAAGGGCCAGTATTCATATCATTTTGAGGTACAGGGGCCCTTAAAATGTTTTAAACTACAGAGATTATTTTTAATTGTATTTTTTTTGTCATGATTTGATTAAATGTTTTATTTGATTTTTCTCAAATGGGTTTGGGTGCCTCCATTCTGTTGTGAAAAGATGAATGTGACTTGAACGTGACAATGCACATTGCAATAAAGTTTTACTTAAAAAAACGGTCTGGATTTTCCTTCACCGTTAAACCTGTCCTGTCTCATAATAATAATAATAATAAGAATATGCCATTTAGCAGACGCTTTTATCCAAAGTGACTTAGAGTTATGTGCGCATACATTTTTACGTATGGGTGGTCCCGGGGATCGAACCCACTACCCTGGCGTTACAAGCGTCATGCTCTACTAATCGATCACCCAATGAAAGTGGCCTGAGGCATCATACCCGCAGTGGGAACAAGGGCACGTGCCCCTTAGATTTGTCCTGTATTAATTTTTTTTCAGATGTTAAATAACTTACTAAGCTTCATTTTTAAACCCACGTTTTATCTTTTTTTTTATTTTTTTGTATTTTGCGGTGTGGGCAAACTGACCATCTGTCGGCTCTCCACATAGGTGATTACCAAGTGCCCAAACTGTATGCTGTACTGTAAGTAGATATTGGACTCACTCTCTCCAGTCACTTTGTGGCCTCGTATAACAGTTTTCACGCGGCTCTTCCTCGAACATGAAGCGGCGGAAAGTATGTGCAGCTTTTCTGAAGCTTTCACAGAGTTCAGCCTCGTCCGTGGAGTCCAGTCGCGACACGTTGTCAGGAGTTGTAGGGGTGGGGAACACGAAGAGTGAGGGGGAAGTAGTTCCAGAATCACTGATCTTTTTACCAACACCTGAAAGATAACGTGTTCTAGTACACCCAGATATTGGGTGCGTCCCAATAATATCCTCAAGTGTACATTCATTCACTACTTCCCACAAATCTAAAGCCGTTGGATTGTTGGAGGCTCGAAGGAGTTTCCACCATATTTGTAATACCAGCCATTTTCCTTTGAAATCATTGAAGGGAAGTGAACAAGTGCAAACTTTGGGAGGATGGAGAGATAATTGGGACGTAGCCTATCACGACCTGCAAGATCGTCAACATTGGTAAGACATTAAATATTGGCAAAAGACAAAAACAATAACAAACAAGCAAATCAAAACATGAGCTAAAATCTTTTGACCGGAATGTAGTTGTTGTGGGTCGTTTTTTGCTATTTCTCTCAGGTGGATAAACAGCAGGGAGTCTTTGAGGATCAATAATGGTTTTGGTTAACATTGATAATATTAATATATCTATTGCTGATTTATCATGAATTACTGTATTTGTAGGGCTGTTTTTATAATTCAGTTGAGGGATATTAATGAATATCACCTTTCCTGAGTTGCAGGGAATTCTCCAGATACTGATCTGCAGTGATTTCTCTGCCGTTGATTTCGAGCTGTGGAGTGACGTCTCTGACGACCCACACAAAATTAGGAAAGAACTGAACAAACTGGGAGACCTCTCCTTCCTCCTCATCATCAGAGGATGAAGTTCCACTGGAAGACTTCACTTTTATCAACTCTGTCAGCTCACTCACAAATCTATAGGGCCGGTTGAGGATTGATACAGTAATTCACAAAGCTCACATGGATGACATTGTCAGGCAAGGTTCAACAGGTGTACAGGGACTTGAACTTAAGGGAAGTGAAAAATAAACAAATACAGTATGTAGGCTATGACAAAATAATGCATTTTCTGTTTAGATTTGAACTGACACAGTAACATCAGTTCTTTGAAAGTCGCAGACATTGCTTTTAGTCAAAATCAGCTCTTCAAGGCAAACTAAAGCTTAGAATGAATCGTGGGAACTGACATCCTGAGAATTCTAAAGTCCTTTCTCGCCACCTGAGAAAATAATTATTACGTAGCACCGATAAACACATATTTTGGTACTTTTTTTAGGATCCCCATTAGCTGTTGCGAAAGCAGCAGCTACTCTTCCTGGGGTCCACACAAAACATAAAACATGACAAATTACAGAACATTAATAGACAAGATCAGCTCAAGGACAGAACTACATACATTTTTTTAAAGGCACACGTAGCCTACATATCAATACATACACACAAACTATCTAGGTCAATAGGGGAGAGGCGTTGTGCCGTGAGGTGTTGCTTTATCTGTTTTTTGAAACAAGGTTTGCTGTTTATTTGAGCAATATGAGATGGAACGGAGTTCCATGCAATCATGGCTCTATATAATACTGTAAGCTTTCTTGAATTTGTTCTGGATTTGGGGACTGTGAAAAGACCCCTGGTGGCATGTCTGGTGGGGTAAGTGTGTGTGTCAGAGCTGTGTGTAAGTTGACTATGTGTCACGCTCTGGCTCCGGGACTTTGTATTATTGAGCCAGGGTGTGTTCATTTTTGTTGTGTTTGGGGATTAGTTGGGTTGTTATTGGTGGTTTCATTGTTTGGTCCAATGACTCCCAATCAGTGGTAACGAGTGTCAGCTGTCGGCTCGTTATCTCTGATTGGGAGCCATATTTAAACTGTCATTGTTCACCTTGGGGTTGTGGGTTTTTGTTCTATGTTCAGTCGTTGTCACTGAGGACTTCATGATCGTGTTTTGTTTTGTATTCTCGTGTATTGCATTAAAGTCAATATGTTCGCTACCAACGCTGCGCTTTGGTCCTACTTCATAGACGATCGTGACAGAAAAACCCACCACAACGAGACCAAGCAGCGTTTCCAGGAGTTGGATGACGAGTGGTGGAGACAGAAGAGCGAAGGTTGGGAGAGGACTATAGAGGCCTGGTCCACGGAGAGGAGAGACCCCCAGAAAATTTTTAGGGGGGGGCTCATGACGTCGGGGCAGCAGGAGTACGGGTTAGAGGAGTGCAGTAGGTTGGCAGAAAAGGCCGCCAGGTTAAGGGGGCCACTGGTCACGAAGGGGAAGGAAGGTGTGGAGGCACGGCGAAGGGTACTGGGGTGTGTTACCAGTCCGGTCCGGCCCGTTCCTGATCCCCGTGTAGGGCCAGGGGTGTGTGTCCTCAGTGCGGTCCTGTCTGTTCCTGTTCCTCGCATGGAGCCTGTGGTGCGCGCCGCCAGCCCGACTCGGTCTGTTCCTGCTCC